TGAAATATTTTTAATAATGCAGAAATGTTTATGTTTAGATTTTAACTTCCTATATATTTCTCTTCTTTCTTTTTAACACAAACGGCTGAGATAGTTACCACCCCGTTTCTCTCAAAATACAAAAATCAAAGGGAATTTGGTTGGTTGAGGCAGGTGGACGTGTGTTGGACTTGCAGATGGGTGATTTGCTATAGTTCTGGACAATAAGAGAGGAAGGTCCTACCGTACGTACGTGCTTTGATTGCCTCTTGAATACAGAGACAGAGAGGAAAAGAAGAAAGGAACAGATGCTGAGGATGAAGCATGATGATGAGGACGGAGGAGATTTGATGACAGTGACAATTGGCTATTCAGTGTCCAGGCGGGGATGTAGAGCAGTTAAATAGAGTCAGTGTGTTTATAGTGTTTCATCACACTGGAGAGACAAGAACACACACACACACACACATGTAACTAGGTTTTTAAAATCGTAAATATATGCTCAACTCTTTGAGGAACGTTAAATGCAGGAGACCTTTTGACTGAAAGCTTGAATTCGATTATTTAGTACTATCTTACTGAAGCTTTAGCTTTGGTGCTGGATGGCTGTGGACCGAACTTTACAGTACGAGTACAGTTTGGTCTCACAACAACTTAATGAGTCACACTGTCAGTGAAGAGAAAAAACAGTGAGGAGTTTAAATGAACAGCAGGAAACTGAAGCAGTGCCGTGCTGCAAATGACGAAACCCACGCAATCAAACTACTTTATACAATTTTATATGGATAAATGCGTGTGTGCATCTGTCAATATGTGGTCCCATCAAATATCAAAAGCAAATGTGTGGGACAAATGTAGATTATACACTCCTGTGGCATGTTCTTACACTCACACCTCGGTGATAGAGTTAAAAATGGTTCATCACAACAGAGGAGAGTGAAGCTTGTGTAAGTGTCACGGAGGTGAGAGAAAAGGAGCAGTCGAGCAAGATGAGAGAGAAGGAGAGGATGTAGACTACAGAGAGGGAAAAAGATGATTGAGAGGGAGAAGATATGAGGCACAGATGGAGAAAGCAAAAAGGGTCAAAGGACAACAAGATAGAGAAGAATAAAAGAGGGAGGGCTGGTGTGAAGAATAAGAGACGACAGGATTGACAGACACACCTGGTCATGACAACAGAGGGAAGGAGATGTGAAGGACAGAGATATAAAAACACTACAACTAAGATGATGACGATGGAGGGACGGTTACAGGCTCAAAGAAAGATTGGGGACATGCTGAGGTGCAGATAGTGATAAACAGGAAGGAGCAAATTGCCTGCAATAAAGAATTAGAGAAATATTGAAAAATGAAAGTGCCTGGATGAGGTTTTAAAGACTCCGTTCACATTCTGATGTTCTGTTGGTGTTTACAGTGAACAGCAAGTCAAGGTACTTTCCTTCCTGTAGCTCTGGTTTATCTTACACTGTGATAAAAACAAAAGTATTGTACTGTAATTTAACAGAGGGTAGTTATTATTGTTTATCGAGATGGATTGACAGCAATTTACTGAATCTGAATTTAGTTCCAAATACTTTTTGCTTTTTTTGGGCGGGGGGGGGGGGGGTAGACATCTCTATCTTTGTGCACTGTTCACTCAGCATTACACCCAAACCATGAAGTTTCCACTGTGCAGAAAAGCTGTCGGACTCTCACCACACATTTTGTCACAGCTTTGTGATATTCATTAACCCTGTCCTGACCCATTTCTCTCTTAGCTGCGAGAGTTGACATTTCACTGGGGGGCTGTTCTACACCTGCAAAATGAAATACAATAACAACAACAACAAAACAACAAATCACAGAATTTGATGGAGCATTGCACTCATCCTATTCATATTCTCATAAATGCCTCCTATTGTATGGACACGACAGATTAGAAGACTAATGTCTCCACTTCAGGATGTCCAGCCATTAATACAAACGTCCTGTTCTCGGGAGTTCACTACCTTAACAACACCTTCAGGTGAATTCCCTTCATTTTGGCACAAGCGTTCACATGGACTCAGACAAACTGTTGAAGATTCTGTTGGTCAAAGGATAAAATACTGAAGTGATAATGTTTTATATCCAAACTGTCAAAGGTCAACATCATAATGTTGTTCAGCAACTCTTTTTCTCTTATTACTTAAAACAATAACTGAGGAACAGAGGGGGCGATTGCAAACATATTTTATAAATTTTAATAGTTTGGCAAGGACATACAACTGTGACGCTCATTTGATTTTTTTATTAGCTGGAAGTGTCAGAAAGAGGCAAAAGAGAGTTTTTTTGGCTGCTGAGCTTAATGAATCTATTTTGTCAACTTGGAAGGAGTCCAAACAACACATCCCTAACGTTGTGATCGCAGTATTACATTTTTTGCACTTGCTTTGTATTTCAGAAGTGCTGAAATACACAAAGTAGCACACAAGTTCAACACAGCATTACCCCCTGTCTGCTGGTGAAGTCTTTGTTGACACCATTAGCTTTCTGAACTTTCCGAGAGGACGCAGGATTAACCAGGTGCCTCGTGACTTGTTCCAGTGAATTAAATGAGCCTGTGCTGCGGCTGCATTGTCGACTCGCAGGTGTTGGGTAAATTTTAATCCTTGAGGAGCATGTGTGTCCTCTGTCAAATCTCCAAACTCTTGTAATCTGTGATCATCTTCTCCTGAGTGCTCCGCACTCGTTCATTTCTGGAAGAAAATTAGAAACTAAAACACATCGTGCCTTCACTTATTGTGATTTCAGCCTGAGTGCAATGAAATCTAATTACAATGTCTGGATAAAATTACAGCACAGGGAACAGCAACACTCATCCTGATCTCATACTGTTTCATTGGTTGGAAAAAATAATAATACAAAACCTGTTGATATATTGTTCCAGTGGAAGTGTTAGCCCAATAGAAAGTTATATTGATTTCAGTGCTGTTCAGCCCCATACATATTTAACTGAGTTATGTATTTCATTCTGCTGACTCAGCAATATGCTGGTAAGTGCTTCATGTATCACATCTATAGAAATAGGTTGGACCTGTGCATATTGATGAAATATATTTATGACCATTGTTCATATTGTTGTATTGTTTATTCTTTTTCATTTGTGCCATTGTGTTAGGTCCAAGGTATTTGATTGTGTTTATGGATAAATGTTTGAAAAAGGGAATTAGAAGTGTAGTCTTTTCTATGTGCTGCCGTTTAAGCAGAATATCTAAGTCTTGAAATAACAGTAACGTTGTTCGTTATATTTCCAGATGTCTTGTAAATTGTTTTATGTAATTTATGATCTCACAAGAGAAAGAATTTAATCATGGAAACTTTCTGCAGTTAATTGAACAAGGTTATTTGTTAATATTGTGGATCATTTTCTTTGTGGAAATGAATTAATACAAACAAGCATTTAACAACTGAAGTGTGATAATAAAATGTCACCTAGTGGGAAATCTTTTTGTAATTTATTATTAGATAGAAAATTAGAGAAATCGCTGTAATATGATCAAATAAATACATGTTTTTTTTATGTAAATACGGTCAGAAAATGTTCTAATTGCCTCATATTAAGTAAGTTTACAACACATATACAATAATTATCAGGAATATTCTTGAAAATTCTTTGATTTCCATTTATTCATTGTTCAATTTATATTTTTACTACTTTAAATTACTGTATTTCTTATTACTTGTTTGTTTATTTTATGCTTATTTGCATAAATGTATCTCCTAAAAGACATCTGCATTTGTTTTTATAGTGACATTTAAATGTTATTGTGTTCAGTTTGAGTGCGGTGTAAAACTTTCTTTTTTTTTTAAAGCCGTCAAGCGCACAAGGTACAAAGGTCAGGGCCTTACTGCCCCAGAAATATTACTATATATGCAAGAATACTGATGTAGGCGAAGTCAAGTGCTGTGAGGAGAAATCAATAACAGCAAAGAGCGAAGGAGAGCAGAGGAGAGGGGAACTGCTGGATTCAGACGAGATGCTGGTAATGGCTGAGGCATCTAAGAGATCTGTGCCGTGGGTTTACTCATAGCTAAGTGGTCAGAGTGATTTTCCATAAACACAGGATGACGTGTTCAAATATAAATGGAAATAAGTTAACAATAGTATGTAATCTTTCAAAAAATCAACACAACAATAGCAACAACTGTTCAGTCAATTGTGCAGTTTGTGGTTCTATGCACAGCCTCTTCCAAGCAGGCATGTAAATGGCTTTATGTTCCCAGTGTCTGCAGCTTGACTGACTGAACTCTTGCAGTCATATGACCTACACTGCTCTGGCTTTTAAGACACTGACTCCTTTTCACTTATGTCGGTTAGCAGCAGCTAATCTATCTGGCTCTTTGTGCAGAAGGAGCTGAGTGCAGACCAGCAGACTCTGATGGAGGAAGAGTTAGATCACTGCTGCATGACAACAGACCCCTCTTTGGTCTTCTGCAGCCAAAGACTAAATAAGAGGTTCACCTTTGTCCGAACCCATTTTTCTTGAAGGTGCATGATGACATGATTCAAAGCAGGTCCACGCAGTGCAGTGGCTTTGTGATGACGATTTGTGTATCTGCGCTCACTCAGGGTCTATGAATGACACTTCCTGTAGTGAAAGCTTTTCACCGACAAAATGGACCTCTAAAAAAAAAGTTTTCATTCTTCTTCTGCAGAAATCACCTTCTGTAGTTGTTGTTCCCTCTGTCTTCCTCTTCTCACTTTTTCATCCTCCATCAATGTTAACTCTCCTTCTCTGGTTGTAACCTTTTTTTTATAAGCTGTGTCTGATATTTCTACTTTTAGATATGTCAAATTACAGGCGGTGTTTCTCCTAGCGTTGTGTTTAGAATGAATTTCCCAGTGTGGCGGTATCTCTGTGATGGTTGTATCTACTGTCTGATCATTTATGTGATGACATTTGGATATTGTTACAGCATTTCAGCACCTTGTTAGAGTCATTCAAAAGATCCAGGAGGAAAACTAACCTGCTCTTTCTTCTCTTGTGTTTTACCTGTAGGCGGACGCTAAGATGGTGTGCGACGTCGTCAGTCGTATGGAAGACACGGAGCCTTACTCTGCTGAGCTGCTCTCCGCCATGATGCGCCTGTGGTCCGACTCTGGTATCCAGGAGTGCTTCAGCCGCGCCCGAGAGTACCAGCTCAACGATTCAGCGCAGTAGTACGTACCCCTGGTCACTTGTGTGTGTATATATGTACGTTCAGGTCTGTCCATGTCTACGTCAGTCTCATTATCGTGAACTGACAAACTCACAAACTTGGCACAAACGTTCACTTGTACACAGGAACATGAACAGATGAGATTTTGTTGTTCAAAGGTCAAGTTTGCTTGGATTTCACAAAAAATGTTTTCTTGTGTTATGAACTACTAGAATTCCAAAGATTCCTTTGAGAAGTTTATCTGATTAAATTTTCGGTGTCAAAGACAATTGTCACTTTGGCCTTGTAACACACATTTTAGTTTTCACCTCATATCTAAACAGACATGGGTGTAAACTGTAACTGCAAGGCCATGATGTCAGTTTATAAATATTTGAATTTTGATAGCAACAGTGTAGAGATGAGAAAGGCAGGGGAGAGACTCTGCGACACGGAGCTGAGTGGATGGAACACACTTAACCAAGTGAGCTACCAGTGTGCTCCAGGTTTGTGTTTATAGTGAACAGCTGGACAAAACTGTGTGTGTGTGTGTGTGTGTGTGTCTGTGTGTGATTCCTAATTTCCTAAGTCGAAATCAATAGATCTCTCATTAGCCCCCTCCCCCAGTCAGCTCACTCACTATAAAACCACACACACCAACCTAATCTTATAAATGCGATCATACTCTACGCTATTAAGACACACAGTCGATCACCATTACAACTACCGGCCCTGATTTATGCTCAGTGCCTGTGTGTGGGTGGAGAAAGAGCGAGACACAGCAGGAAAAACACACCGAGGGAAAGAGAGAGAGAGAGAGAGAGGCATTGGAGGTGGGCGATGCATTTCTCTTAAGTGCCATGTTTGTGTGTGTAGCCTTAATTTAATTGTGCTCTGTACATGTTAGTGAGTGACGTAAAGAAAAAAGATGGATGTAGTCATTGATCAATAACCCTCTCTTATGCTGCAGGCTCTAACCATGGATGTGGTAAGTGTAGCTTATAATATCAAACTAATATAATCATATGACAGCAGGGCCTTCTATATGGAAAACCACAAGTAATGTGAAATCTTCCTACAACAAATGTAGATAATGGCACATTAATTGCTGTGATTCACTAGTGTTTGATAAAAAGCATAGTTCAGGTCAACAGTTCAGCCTTCGGCTCTGATCTGAACCATGGTACCATTACTTCTGCATCATGCTCTGATGCAACAAACCCCAGCAGACTTTCAATTGGATACAAAAGGAATTTAAAATTAGCTGCTAATTTCAAAAATGTATTCAATGGCAAGAGACTGTATTAAGAAGAGGAAGAAAAGCTTTGCAAAGAAAAGCGTCCCCTCCATCTTAGGATATTTTTTAGTACAAGGTTCTGTTGAATATTGTTATTTACTTACAAAGAAGTCGATGGGGAAACAGTTTAAATTATAACGTGATAACTGAATGACGTAAGTGGAAATCACACAGGAGATCACAGCATGTGCACATTTTTAGGATCAGAATCTACCGCTAAGAATAAATGTGCAGAAAAGAGGCTGATGCAAACAGAGAACAAAAAGTGGAAATAAATAAACTGCAGAGAAGATGAGAAGAGACAGGATGTAGTGATTAAGTGAAAGTTAAAGACAAGAACTGTCGGCAAAGAAAACATAACAAGATGATGGAATGATACAAAACTGTGAAACAAAAAAAAAGGAAAGGAAAGGGTGAGTCAGTGCAAAACTTATGAAAGAGTTAGAAAGTGAATGAGAGAGAGAGAGAGAGAGGAAGTGAAAGAGAGAGAGATTTCTCATCACGGCAGACATCTTGGAGGGAGCGCAAACATAGTGCTGTCAGCGTTTACATATGGTCAATTAACTCAAACAACACCCGCTCTCTCTCTCTCTCTCTCTCTCTCTCTCTCTCTCTCTCTCTCTCTCTCTGTGTGTGTGTGTGTGTGTGTGTGTGTGTGTGTGTGTGTGTGTGTGTGTGTGTGTGTTAAATGTCACATTAAAGATTGATGCACACTTCCTATTATGTTGTGGCCTGTGGAGCAGAATAAACCAACCAACCAACGAGCTGATAGGACAGATACCATGTGATCTGACTACACTCTGTGTGTGTGTGTGTGTGTGTGTGTGTGTGTGTGTGTGTGTGTGTGTGTGTGTGTGAGTTAAGGATATTTCTCCAAATTAAGACCTTTTCTGTTTTAGGGTTTCAGGTGTAAGATGTCATGTATGTAGTATAAGGTCATGATTCCACTCAATGATTCTAGTCTGGGATTCTTTTAATAATTGCACATGCATCTAATGTATGTGAAGCCACTGCTCTCTCTCTCTCTCTCTCTCTCTCTCTCTCTCTCTCTCTCTCKCTCTCTCTATTCCTGTGCAATTTAAGCCCTGCATGTACTGACCTATTTACCACAAGACTCTATATGATTTACATCATCTGCCGTTGTGACACTGTGGCATATACCGACTCAGCTTCGCTAAAGAAAAATAATTCGATGACATCCTTCATACACAAACAAACTCAATGACATTAAAATGTCAGGTAAAGTTGTTAAATGGACACTGAGCATGAACATGTCCTCGGTGCGCTGGTTTATTGCATTACATTACTGCTGAATTAAATTGCATTCAAGTGCATATTGTCCACTAATGGCAGGCAATCTGAGTACACCTGTTTAGAGCTGACGGTTAAAATGAGGTAAATCTTGTTCATTTTCAACAGTTATTGATTCTGTATCTTGCTTTGCTTCCGATTAAGTGCGTTCGCATTGTTACCATGAAATTTCCTGGTTTATCTTCTTCTCTCTGCCAAGTAATGACAGAGCTCTTCCCTCTTTTCACATTCCTTCTCCCGTGAATATCACAGCCCGTCAGGAGCTCTGTAGCTTTCCATACTGGAAACACAAACACACTCATGCACACACATGCTTGTCATTATCACCTCACCGACAACATCTTTACAGATGTCTCTCTTTTGTGCCGAATACTCTTTTAGCGATAGACCATAAAACCGCACGTTACCGGGGAAATGAGGCGAGCATACTCTGGGGTCTGGTGTTAATCGACTTAAATAAGTAAATACTTTGTCTTCATCTTTTCAAACCCCCCCCCCCCCCATCTACTTCTTCCACAAACCCTGATCAAACCCATGTCCCTTTCCTGTGTTATCAGTAGTTTGTATCACTCAGGACGTGCATGCGTGTGTGTGTGAGTGTGTCTGCTGAGACCTCATTCTGCCATTGATTTTAGGAGTGAAGCTGTTTGTCATAACTGAAAATACAAAGGATAATACTGGCCAAGGTGCAGGAGTACACCATTGTATCTCAGCAGAGTAAAAGCAGGATGGTAAATCGGAACATTAATGCTCTTGTGTGAGAAATCTCATCCACTGTGAATCGTGGAGATAAAGACGTTTATTTTGATGTGACGCTGAAAAATTGTACAACAGGAAATGTGTATAAATGTCTGTAGTTACAGATTGATCATGATCATGAAACAGCTTGAGATATATTTTTAGATTGTGTCATATTATTTGTGTTGACAGTAGATTCCCTCTCTGTCGGGGCAGTGTTGATCTGTTACTGACCTTTTGCCTTCCAGGTAGAGGAAAGCAACTGTAGTCAGTAGATTAAAAAACTGAGTCAATACAGGAAAAGAGAGTGGAGTCGATAGAGTAGCACATTTTCTTTCATTATTAATGACATCAATCCAGTGGGTTTCTCATTGTGCCTGTTATGCAATGTTTACTCTGAGGCCCACCTGAGCCGTAACATTCATCATTAGGTTTACGGCACACTGCAATGCAAATGCATGTATTTGAAGTGATCATGCTCCTACTCTGTCAGTGTGATCAGAAAACTCTCGGTCTAAGTGAGACCAAGCTGCACGGAGCTGCTGATCGATCTGAGGCGGACTTCACAAGGGCCACCTGAGGGCCGCTGGCACCCATCAATTATGTGTCAAAGGATCAAACCAGCTTTAGAACTACGTATGCTTTATAACCCTAACCCAATCAGGATCTCCTCAAGCTAATGAATAAAGGCTCTAAGGATGAGGACTGTTATAACTGCTTGAGCTTGACCAACACATCTTGTGTAAACTGTTGGAGTTGCGTAAGTTTAAACTTCTGCAAATCTACTAAAGAGCAGGAGAGAGGCTGCTAGCGGTTCACTCAAATAGGATTCAGACTTAAACACAGCTGAGTGCTACATGTATAGAGTATTAGAACAATAACAGTTTGAGGGGTGGGAATCGCAGAGGAGCTCGTGATACAATATAATATGATTCGCAATAATAAAAAGAATATCACGATACAGCGATTCTGCAATAATCAGTATCCAAATGCTAATTATATTGCTTAGTTAAATGTTTTTCTCCATTGCCTTGTACAATTCCGTTTTTTTGTGGAGGAAGTGAACTATCAGCCAGAGGTGCTAACAACTGCAGCTGACTTTAGAGCAGATTAACAGTCTAATCCATTCATTGGGTTTTCCCTCACATGCTCTGAAAAAAGGCTGAAAAAAAGTGTCTTTCACAACAGCCCCATGCACATGTCTCAGGATGTGAAGAAACCCGATAGCCCTGACTCGCCTTATTACAATAGATATTACTGCTGATGTACAATCTCTTTTTCTCTGTGTGTGTCTGTGTGCAGCTACCTAGACAGCCTAGATCGGATTGGTGCAACAGACTACCAGCCGACAGAGCAGGACATCCTGAGGACCCGAGTGAAGACCACAGGCATCGTCGAGACACACTTTACCTTCAAAAACCTTCACTTCAGGTCAGTATGAACTCTTACCACTGGTGTTTGCATTTTCTTATTAGTCTGCTTGTTCTTTTACAGTCACCAGCACCCATCTACCAGCGTGCTCCTCTATCCATGCTTACAGTAGGAACTCCAGTCTGTAATTAAATACTTTGAACACGTGTCTATATTTATGAATGTCTGCCTTTTTAATGAGATCTGATTCAATTAGAGCGAGGAGCTATGGGAACGATGACAGGAGAGAGGAGAGGCGTTATGGGAGGATTGAAGGAAAGGAGAGAGAAAGCAAGGAGAAAAGACGAGAGGGTTCTAGTTGCGACCTCTAATTTAATTAACATATATCTGCCCCTGGTGTGTGCATGTGCTCACGGAACGGCACACTCACATTAATCAAATGTAGTCACCATCACACTTTGCAACTGATATTTGTTTCACTTTTCCTCTTTTTGTCTTTCTCATGCATACACATTCATCTTAAACATGCAAACACACAGATGTTAGTTCTACTAATTAGTGCTTTCCACTGTTGCGCTCGCAGGTGAGCAGGCAGGGAGCTGGGTGTGCTTTGCGTAAAAGTTTAAATATCGTCAGCTCAGTTGTTATTACTGACAGTGAGGCAGTGTGTGGGAGTCTTCTGTATTCCTGCACTGTATCAGCACCATCTGTTCTAAGCACCACAAGAATACACATTTTACATGAGGAAGACGTGAGATGAATTCAAAGAGAAAAGTCAAATCTAGCGTCATCTAGCCTTTGAACGATACCACCAGGTGATCTTTAACTCGTCCCGTCAGAGGCGGCATGCGGTGCAGTCTCTATTTGTGAATTGATGTGCTACCGATATATATATATATCAAGATCAAGATTCCTCTTTATTGTCCCACACACAGCATGCAACATGCAAACATGGGGAAATTTGACCTCTGTATTTAACCCATCTGTGTGAACAGACACGGAACACAATCCAAACAGTGACCACACGGAACAGTGGGCAGCCATGAAGGCGCCCGAGGATCTGTTGTCCAGATCACATATCTGACTGCGGCCCACCTGTTTTAATATTTTTGTTTTTCTGTGCTTCATGCTAATGCACCAAATAATCATTTGTGCATCTAATTAGTTTTGTTCAACAATAACAGCTTTAACTACCCAGATAACAATTCTCCATTAAGCCCCCCCCCCCCTTTGCCCACACAAATCAATGCTCCCATTAACCACACGGATCATTCAGTGACTTGACCGATCAGAGTTTCGATGAATGCTATCGCGGCTCGTTTCACCACATGTGTGAATCTATGTGATAAAACTGTTTCAGAGATTTCAACCTATCTTGATTTTTTTGTACTTAATTGCTATTTTGTTTGACTGGGACACAAGTGAGGACTCGAGTGCAAGACTCAGACACAAGATGTGGTTTAAAAAGGTTCTTTACTGAAGGCGCTGCACATCAAAATTCTTCAAAGCTGTTTGTGCATCTCAAGAAAATGAAGTATAATCCCATTAAAACGAACAGTGTCTAGATAAAGACAGTGTTCATGTCTGTATGATTCATGTCTGTATCTGTGTGTCCATCAGGCTGTTTGATGTGGGAGGTCAGAGGTCAGAGAGGAAGAAGTGGATCCACTGTTTTGAGGATGTCACAGCTATCATTTTCTGCGTGGCCCTCAGCGGGTACGACCAGGTGCTGCATGAGGACGAGACCACGGTAAGGACACGTCTTCACGCACGTGTTGTTTCTCACTCTGTAGCGCTCTGTTCCTCTCACTGACGCTTTTTCTCTGTCGCTGTGTGGCCAAACGACCCGTTTATACTCTACATATTGGAACGCACCTTTAAAAGACACAGAGTAATCAGCAAATACGTCCTTAATACATTTTGACACATGATTTATAAAACAATGAAGATGAATAAAGAGTGTGTATGCTTGCTTTATATGAAGAAGGAACACGGAGCCTACTGTAAGCTAACGTCAAATACATGGTCTGTTTAAAATAAATAAATAAATAAATGTCTCTGTTGCTCTAATGAGTTGCTAAATAAATTAAAGCATGAAAATGTTTAGATTTAGATTTATATAATGTTTTAAGAGTGACAAAGTTTTATGCAAACACTTTTATGCTTTCCGTCTTTCCTATTTTACATCTGTCTAATTACCTGGTGTTGTTTAACAAAGCTGCCACGTCAGCATGTGGTTTATTTCAGTGGTTTACCTTCAAACCTTTCCCATAATTCCACGGTCTCTCCTCTGGATGCCTCTTGTATTACAAGTGATTATTGTATCTGTGAGATATGTTTCTTTATGCAAAGCATTCGTCCTTATATTGACAGTGCATACAAAGCTACATCTGTGGCAAAGCCTGCTTTACATAATGGGAAGGACAGGTACCGTAATGTATGTTGCACAAAAGGCAAATTGTGCCAACTGTCGACTGAGACACACAGTAGGTGGAAAAAAAATCAATAATACAGTATTTAGGGCCTTTTTTACATAATGAAAATGAGACATTAGCATCAAATCCCCTTATAAAGATCACTGAATGAACGTTTATTTCTTTTTAGCTTGCTTTAATTTTTGCAGCTTGACTAACAGTCAGTGTGTGTGCGTGCCACAAGGGGGGTGGAGTGGTACAAATGCAAATGTGGCCCTATTTGATATTTGGTTCAAATATTTGTGTATGAATGGTTGGATTGGAATGGAAACATTGGAGCAGCTAGGTGTTTCCTCAACAGAAGGTTACGACCCACCGTGAGGCTGTAACAGCGATGGTCCCGATGTAGTCGAAAAACAAATACGCTGATTTGAATGCGCGACGCTCGCTGCTATTTATCAGCTTGAAGTGTTTTCCTCTGAGGATTGCAGGCTGGGAAAACATGTCCACTAGCTGCTCTATTTATGCAGATGTCTTCAAGCTTCCCTCTGCGCTGGGATCAGCAGAAGAACGTCAGAAAAGGCGAGGAAATATCCATATAAAACACACGCACACACACGCACACACACGCACACACACGCACACACACGCACACACACACACTAAGAGCCTCTAGTATTATGTGTGTTCCATACACGGATGCCTCAACAAATCGGTTTGCACTGCAATGATACATCATGTTTTAATTAAGTGGCCAATTTAACATGGTAATATGATTTCAATCAGAAGAGACTCATGAGTGGAATGAAGAGAAACATTGAAGTAAGATTAAATTTATTGTGAAGAGGAAGAATAAATTTAAGTGTTTTAGTGCCCAACAACAGGAAGTAGATCTTATGAAGTGGGCGCTTCAACATGAAAGACACTTCCCCCCTGAGCCCAAACACTGGTGATAGTGGTGGTGAGGAGGAATGGAGCTCGAGGCTGGGACGTCTCCATGTGACGGACATTTCTGGTTGGAGAGTTTGATGGAGATGCCAGACATCCACAGCTGAGGTGGTCAGAAAACTCCACGGCACTGAAATGACAGCTGAATGTCAGGAGATGACTTTTAAACTTTGATTTCTTATACGTAATTGGCTAAAGTTAAAGAGGGTAAAGAGGAATGAGCTGGTGGAGCTCAGATATATTCCTCACCTCTAAATCCTCAACACATTTCAGATAAAATACAACCTCAGGTCCATTGTTTGGATGTTGTTGGATGTCTGAGAAATCTTTTGTGTGTGTGTGTGTGTGTGTGTGTGTGTGTGTGTGTGTGTGT